CTTAGCAAGAACCAAAGCATCAGTGTATCATCGACATTGTTCTCATCCTAAACCCAAAACACAGCCCCATACCGGCTACCAAGACGAAAATTAACTCTATCCCAGCTGAAACCAGGACAGGTTTGAACTGCTTAAGAGGGGAGAAGCTGCATGGCTTCCTTTCCCACATCTCCCTCCAACATTATCGCTGCTGCCTGTTTATCCTGCCCCAGCAGAGGGGCAGTATCTGTCTTAGACTATCTCACAAAGCCAGTATTATCGTATTCTGTATTCAGAGGTACTGAATACAGAATATGAAAGTATGACTTGGGATCTTAAGCATGCCAGCATCAGCTGGCATAAATCCTGCACAAATGGAGACAAGTGAACATGGTGTGAAGGCTCTAATCACCAGCTGTAACCTGACCTCTGAAAGGATGAACCTAGCCTAATCTCCAACAAGGATTTCCGTGCTCAGATGCTGGTATGGAAGATGGTACCAGAGAGTGAGCAGGATGAGGCATCAGGCCACTTTTTCCCTAAGACCAGCAGGCGCCATAAGGAGGCTGGGAAGACAGATGGTAGACAGTGGCAAGAGTTCACAATGTGCAGTCAGACCATCAAAAGCAACAGAGGCACCTGGGCTTGAACATTCCCTGACCATCAGCTGAACTGTGATAACTGAGTAAGTGAGTGTTTTTAGTCAGCCCAGCTAAAAATTAAAAGAATTAAACCGTTAAGTAAAAGGCCTAAACCAGCTGATTCCACCAAGACTGACAGACAGTTGGAGGATAAGTAAGTGGCTATGGTTCAGACAACAAGTGAGAACTGGTTACATTCTGGTAACTCAGTCAGCTTCAGTTGTGTGACCATCCCCTTGTTTTTAACATCACACACCCCTGAAGACTCCATCAGCTTCACCATAGCTCTTGCAGTGGCACCTGCAAGCCTTAAAATTGAGGCAACATTACTCAGAAGCAAACTGCTTTGCAAGGAAAGCATCTAAGGATTCATTATAATGGGAATGCTTATTGAAACGTGGGGATATAGAAATCCACCCACCTGCTTAAAATCCCAGTGCAAGTTCAGGCCTTTATTCACAGCTGTGTGACATTGCTCTAAAACTGGCAGGTCCCCATTCCCAGGGTCTGTTAGGCATCTATCAGCTGTATTCCGTCGGGCATATAAACCTCCTACATACATTTCTCCAGTGCTGTGATAAAAGATGTGCTGAAAGGAAAGGTGACACCACTGTCAGTGAATTAAGATACCAGGGAAATCTCATCAGCAGTTGATAGCAGACAGTTCCAAAACTGATATTGAGAGGTATCAGCTGTACAGCACCAGCATTCACTGATCTCTCAACAATTAAACCAGGATGAATTTTATCCTATACAACCTCCTTCTGCTTTTCAATGAAAAAAAGCAAGATGCTTACAAATTAGTGGTAACCCTTAGCTTCCCTCCTACTGAGAGGACAGGCAGTGAGGTGTGAGGAAGAGCTCCACATCTCTCTCATTCATCCCACTGGTCTTTTGTTAATCAACAAGACCAATCAGTATCAACATGAGGTCTCACAAGTTTTTGGCAAGGCTAAACCAAACACCTTAGTTTAATGCACTTAAATCTCCATTGGAACCTGCTCTGCTGCCAGTTACATTGGGGGGCAGAATTTAGTAATGTAAAGATTAGTATTCCCCTTCAAATAGCACAGAGACAGTAGTTTTGAAGTGCCTATTTCACGGCCCTGTGGAAAGGAACAGTTAGCAACACCTCATATGTGAAGATCTGATCAGTTGCTTGCATTACCTGTGGTGAGTATGCATGACAGGGATACATAATTGGTGTGTTTCCGGGGACAGGGCCCTGATCAATACAGATGTCTTCTTTCAATGTGTTTTTCATCTGCAGAATAAAACAGGAAATTACCGTGAGGAAGAGCAATCCTGTTTTCAACTCCTCACTGCTAATTTTAGAAACTGTCCTGAGAGGAAGACTAGTTTGTTCAGAGCTCTGCATCAAATCCTGAAGTGGAAGATACAATATGGGTTTAGAAAACAAATCTCAGATTACCTTTGTAGAAATGATTCAACACAGCAAATACCAAAAGCAAATCTAAGGTCCTTCAACAAATCATCGACATCGTGCCAATGCAGCACCATGTCAGAAGTCACCAGGCAGCTCCGAACAGGTGAGTACCACTGCCCAGCTCCAGCAAGACATGCAAGCTTGGGTCTAGAAAATGCCTACCTATATTAAGAAGCCACTGCAGCCTAGATGATTAGTTCTCTCTTTCACAAACAGTAGCCTGATTTCCAATATACTACATGCTATCTTGATTCATGTCTGCATGCTTTCCAAATTATCCTGTTAATCTCTGGAGAAGAAAATCCATATATTCCATTGAAAAATTCAGGCTCTTACAAGAAGATACTGACCCATTCTTGTCGGTCAATAGATGAGTTTTGCATGCAGTAAAAAAACGCGTTAAGTTGTTGTGCTCCATGAGTACATACACAATAACCACAGCTGAGAAATTCTGGACTGACAACTAATATGAAAAAGACTTTAGAAAGCTTCAGTGTCTAGAAAGACATGTAAAAGTCTTTTTAAAGTTTCTAGGAAAACATATCATAATCAGCAAAACAGTGTTCACAACATTTCTTCATAACAGTAGAGCTAATTAGTTGTTCCATATTTCAAATAAACAGACTCAATACTTACTGTTCCATAGGCAACAATGTTGGGAAGAAAGATTAAATTAGGATAAATGTTTTTTATGTACCAGTCAAAGCCTTTACAGTTCAATTTTTTCCTTAGCTCTTTTCTGGAAGAAACATCTCCAAAGTCTATTCCAGGATTCTGCAAGAACAACATATTTAGTTTCCGAACATTTAGGTGGTCTGAGAAACTAGGGAAAATACAGACTTATTTCTCCATATTTTTTATTCATAACATAAAAAATATATTTAAAAGTTCATTTTTTAAAAAAACTGTACATTTTTTAAACTTCAGAATTTCAGGACATGTTTGTCTAGAGGTGCCAATAAATTACTGAAAAACTAACGTGTTATGACTTCATAAATATAAAGAATATCAAAGTTAGATATGGCTAGGAGGTAGTTTTCATACTGAGAAAAAAAATCTAGCTCAAAGTGAAAAATAGGACAGAGCTTGTTAACCACCTTAGTTTGATCAATAGTCTGTTGACTGTGACGCTCATCTCATATGGGAGCAATCAAGATTCAAACTGTTGTTTCCAAGACTACGAACTTCTTATGCAAAGTGGAACAGCTCCAGCAGGAAAGTTGGAAGGAAATCAGTCCAACAGGATCTTATGCCCTGTCTTTAAGTAGTTCTGTAAAACAGTCTGTGATCTGAATAAGTTTGGTTAGGAATTTCGAATAGACTTGTACATCCCAGAGAAAAGGCATCATTAAAGATGAACAAGTTCATTCAGTGCTAAAACTGATAATTGTGTTTTTACCAACAGCTTAGTTTTTGATGACTAGCATTTTTAGATGCAAAATTCCAAATATTTACAGTAAAAGTTAATTAATGGGGAAGCAAAGTGGATTCTTCTGAAGTTTTAATTTATGCCATATCACTATATATTTTAATTTGTTTCTTTAATATCTATTCAAGAAAACACAAGGAGGTGGGAGGCTATTCTTCCTTTGTTAAAGATTCATAAATCCACTGAAGTGCAGGCTGGTAAAATTAATACTTTTTTTTTTTTAATTAACTGAAATTATCAATACTCAAAAGACCTGGTCTTGACACTTCCAGTATCTTCAACAGTTTGTGCTGGGGAAAAGTTAAAACTATATTCAGAAGTACCGAAGTTAACCAAAAGGAGAAAAAACCATGTAATTTAAAGGACTTAGATTATTATTATTAAAGGAAAGTTCTTAATTTCCTGGTATTACCATTTTTCATCCTTCTAAGGATGTTATAAGACTTTCCCCTTTTTCTTCCAGGAAAACAAAAGCAGAACTTTGGGCTGCAGAGAGGAGAGCTCACTTAATAAAAGTGACTGGGTATGTGATGAAGAGTAATTGAAGTCTCTATTTAAAGTTCAATTTTGCTTATTTAAAAGATATTCAGGGACACCCAGATCACTAGAGACATGCTCTTTCATGCAAAATTATTAATATTCCAGGTAAAATATTCCCTACTTTCCCTAAAGAAGTTAAAATACATGTTAAACAATTTTATTTTATATTCTTTAAGCTAAGCATCAGCTCTTGGTCTGAGCCTAAGAGGAACATGTCTATGATCATGGCTTTTGGATGGCATCCATATCAATAATTATTCACATATCAATATTAATTTTTTTTTTTTTTTCACAGTGAGTTTTATAACTACACTATGCCTGTTTTTGTGTGACAACATGACCTCATCTGACCACTTTTAGACTTTGGATTCCGATTTGAAACACAAAGAAACACTGTCACCTCAATTGGAAGATTCCATGCAAAGTAGACCATGTACTTGTAGTCATCCATCCACACTTCAGCTACCCGCAAGGCATTGCGTTTCACTGCGATGCTCAAGTCTGGCAGGTAAGGCTTGTGAGCTCTTTCCAAATGAGCGATTCTTGAACAGGGCAGCACTTCTACTTTACCTCCACACTGCCAGGCCTAGGTCAAGAAGAAAGAATTTGAGGTTAAAAGTTGCCTATTTATTCAAACTCTTTGCACTTTTTGTTAAAGTGCTCCCATTTCTGCTCCCCTCACCAGATGAATTGACAGGCCCTCAATATTCAAAGCTCTATTTCCTGGCTTGAGTGAATGAAAAGAATTTTTCAATACCTTTCATTTCTACTGTGTATAGTCCTATCACAGGTCAAGGAGAGTAAAGACATGTTCATTCTTTTTCTTTGCCATCACCATTAACAAAACTACTCACCAGTTTCCTGTGACAAGGCACTCGAATCAATTGGCATAGATGCACTAAGGCAAACTGATACATACCTCCAACTGATCTCACTAGGAGCTAGACTGCTAAACACCGTGGTGGTTATGGGCCTGAATCCTTCAGAAGCAGTGACGTTACCCAGAACATAGAATCATAGAATATCCTGAGTTGGAAGGGACACACAAGGATCATCGAATCCAACTCCTGTCCCTGCATAGGACAACCCCAAAAATCATACCATATACCTGAGGGCGTTGTCAAATTGCTTCTTGAATGTTGTCAGGCTTGGTGCCATGACTACCTCCCAGGGGAGCTTGTTCCAATGCTCCACTGCTCTTTGGGTGAAGAACCTTTTCCTGATGTCCAACCTAAAACACCCCTGGCATATCTTCCTGACGTTCCCTTGGGTCCTATCATTGGACTGCCAAGAGCAAAACTGGTCCTGCAAAATCTTACATATTAGGAAGAATTCAAGAAAAAGACAAAATCCAGTGGATTCCTGGAAGATATCTACATGGAATTCAATGAGATACCTAAGCAGGCCACAACCAATGCTTCAAAAGTACCAAAGGTCCAGAACAAACACACCCAACCTGACTATACATGAACCAGTCTAAGTGTGGAAGCTCTTCAAGAGGCGAGCAGCTATGCAGAACTGAACTCAAGGTGGCAAGTCCACATGGCACTGCCTAACGCAGATTTACTGTACTAGTTTAGGGTTCACCACACAATGCTCCACTGTGTGCTATAGACTTCCTTTGCATCTTCACATTAAATTTTTCAGGGCTGGCAGCTAGCAAAAGAAAAATATAAGAGGCTTCTTGCTTGCTAACCAAGCATATTTGACACAAGAAACTCTCAGGATAGAAATAAACAGAGACCTTTAATATTATTTTTACAGTCAATTTTCAGAGCAGCTTTGTGTTTTAACCAAATTGATTCTCCATTGTTTTCACCTCCAGCATTTGTGTAAATGACTAGACATACATTTCCCTCACTGTGAATGGTGCAGGGCATTAAAGAATAAAGTGTAAATGTATTTTCAAACAACAGAACTGAAATATTAATTCACAGCCTGCCACACATGGCATGAGGTGATGACATGTGACATTTCAATCTCACAGACAGAATCTGAAGCATGAGGTCTTTGGCCATGTGCACCACGAGTAATGGAGAAATGTGTCAACATCTCCAATATAGTATCAACCCAAGTTAGTACACCCACGTGACTCAGTGTGGTGCCTTACACACAGCGGCTTTGTTTAACATAGGATTTGGCACATTTGGAAGACTGTTGCTATACTTCCTCTTGATTGTCTCTTTTACAAATCAAGAAACCTCATTTAGGCCTATCTCTGCTATTATGTTGCATATTGCAGGAACTCTATTTGTTCTTTTTCCTTTCCTTCAGAGTCTTCAATTTTTCCACATCTTTCCTGATGTATGGTCCCAGAAATCAAAACACAACTCCAAAGCAGAAGAGAAGGATCATCAATGCCATCCTCTCCTATGCAGCTGCACAGCCATGTTGACAGATACGAAGTCTGTTACTCCCAGTTCTTTTCTAGCTGGATGTTCCCCAACCTGCACCTCTGTAGCTGTTTATTCCTCATGTTTCTCCTAATTACTGCTGGTTTTCTTCTTTGCACAAAGCATGATACCTTGTTATAGAAAAAAAACCTAGACTTGTTTGACATGATTTATTCAGACAAATTTATATTGTCTGTATTACCTTTTATGTGGTTACTAATAGATACCAGAACAAAAAAGAAAAAGCTGTAAGAACATGAGAAAATGCCCATACTGGACCAACAGTCCATCTAGCCTAATATTCTGTATCCTGCAGTTTCTGCAAACTTATTCTTGGGGAAGGTTAAGAGCAAGACAAGTACATATGTTGCCTCTCACAGTCCCAAATTATTTTCAGGTCAGGGGACTTTGGCTGCAAGTTTTTAAGACCCACAATACTCTTTAGAAGGAGATCTGCTTCTGGTCTGTTGGTCTGATCTGCTACTGGAAGAATGAAGTAGTTCCTCCTCATGTTCATTTTGAAACACATAACTAACTTCTTTCAAAGCCCCTAAGTTTTCATATTTAAAGAGAAAGAGAATAATCAAACCCTTTTTTCCTAGACATTTAAGTCTTGCTAACAGGTTTATAATTTTCACATCCTACCATCCTTTCTCTTCTTTATAGAGATAAGCGCTGTATTCATTTTATTTATTCTCAGGTCTTCTAGAATATTTCTAACCACCATCATTTTTAAAAAATACTCATCAATAGAATTTTTAGTGCTCTCACATGTTCCCTAATAACTGAAGACACTCCAGATAAAACTATTCTGGGGAAAAAAAAAAAAAAAAAAAAAAAAAAAAAAAAAAAAAAAAGGCCTCCATTCTTGATTTGAAGACATCCAAAGTTGAAGAACACACTACTTTCTAGGGCAGACAGACCTCTTTCTGCTTTTGGTTCAGTTTGGGTTTTTTTCGTAATACATAACTTCATTTAACTTTATCTTATCTTATTCTTGTGCTGAGCCAAAAGACATACACCTTAAATTTCTGCAGAGAACCACATCTTGCAAGATTCAGTATTTCCTCACTGAACTAGTTTTTTGTGTCAGGAATCAAAATCCTTAAGAAATATCAACAAAAGCCTGCTGATGAGCCTTAAACACTTTTGGAAATATATCACTTCCCTTTGGTACCCAAAATAAAACAGAATTGTTCTGAGATATTAACCCATGCTTTTGACAACAACCAGTGGCCTGAGTGCTTTAAAAAAAAAAAAATCTCATACTAATTTTCACTGTCTTTCAGAAAAAGATGAAAAAATAGGCTTACCCTCAGGCCAAGTTCCACGTTTTCTCCTCCATATATGTGCATTCCACCATCCAGTACACCAATTTCACCCAGAAATTTCCTATCTGCAGCAAGAATCCCCATTACAGATGGGCTCCTGGAGAACCAAACAAGTAAAATTAGAAAGAAGCAACAATGATGTAAATAAAGTAAAGTCAATTAGCCATCAATCAAATCTTGAACTTCCGGAAGGATTCCCATTGTATCCAATTTAATTCAGAACAACATGTGCATCAACATTAAAGAATCAAGAAGACAGCAAATGCACTTGATCAATGGTCTAAAAAGAATGATTTAGTATTTTTTAAAGAATTAGATCTGTTTTGAGAGGAGATGTAACAACAATTTTCACATATTTAAAACAAGAAGAAAGAAATCAGATTAAACTGCAGTAAGGAAGAATTAGGTTGGACATGATGAAATTTTGCCTAACATTAAGGAAACTTAAACACTAAAGCCCATTGGAACGGGGGATTGTGGAATCACTGTCAATTGAGGTTTTGAAAGAGAGATGAGACGATTGTGTGGCAGGACCAGTTCCACTGTAAATGAATCCACCCTAGAGGTGGCGGAAAGGGGACTGAAAGGGGATTTGGGGCTCTTTTGGTATCCCCATTCTCTATGATCAAACCTGCTTCTATTTTCTCTGGTCTAAGAATTGTGGACAACCCTCCCATGAAACATTCTTTAACCTACATTTGGCTTGCTTTCATTCCATTCTCCTGTCTGAACCATTAATGCTTACTATATAATGTTTTTGAACACATACAGGTGCCAATTTCACTAATAGTTCTTTATCTATGTATCTGTGCAGCCTTATCTCCAATGCTTGGCTACCAGGTGTAGTAGTATATGAATGAAGAAATCTGCCATTTCATCTGATAAACAAAGTACATTATTTTCAAATGTTTTCACAGTGCCTTTCCTCCTCAGGATCTACATAGCAAATCTTAAAGCCCTTTATATAAATAAGGATGGTGGATTAACCTTGGCTGGCTGCCACCAGGTGCCCATGAAGCCACTCTCTCGTTCCCTCTTCTCAGCAAGACAGAGGAAGATAATAAGATGAAAAAGCTCATGGGTCGAGATAAGGATAGGGAGGTCGTTCACTGGTTACCATCACCAGCAAAATAGACTCAACTTGGGGAATACTAATTCAATTTATGCCAATTAAAAATAAAGGAGGATGGTGAGAGAGGCAAAACCAAAACTAAACCACCTTCCCTCCATTCCCTCTTCTTTCCAGATTCAACGTCACTCCTGAGTCTTCTACCTCCTCCCCCTGCCCCGAGCGGGGCATGAGGATGGAAAACAGGGATTCTAGTCCGTTCATAACATTTCACCTCTGCCAGTCTTTCCTCCTCACACTTTTCCCCTGCTCCAGCATGGAGTCCTCCCATGGGACACAGTCCTTCATGAGCTGCTCCAACATGGGTCCTTCCCATGGGCTGCAGTTCTTCAAGAACTCAAGAATGGGTCCTTTTCCACAGGGTACAGTTCTTCAGAAGACTGCTCCAGCACGGGTCCCACATAGGCTGCAGTTCTTGCCAGAAAACATGTTCCTGCCCGAGCATTTCTCCATGAGCTGCAGCTCCTGCCAAGAGCCTGCTCCAGCGTGGAGTCTCCACAGGTTGTATCTTCCTTCAGGGCATATCCACCTGCTCTGGTGTGGGGTCTTCTATGGGCTGCCATATGGATATCTGCTCCAGCGTGGTCTTCCATGGGCTGCCGTGTGATATTTGCTCTGGTGTGGTCCTCCACAGGCTGCCATGTGGATAACTGCTCTGGTGTGGTCCTCCACAGGCTGCAGGGGAGCAACTTGCTTCACCATGGTCTTCTCCACAGGCTGCAAGGGAATCTCTGCTCTGGTGCCTGGAGCACTTCCTCTCCCTCCTTCCTCACTGACCTCAGTATATGCAGAACGGTTTCTCTCATATTTCTTCCTCTTTCCTCTCACTCACAGCTGCTGTGCAGCATTTTTCACCCTATCTTAAATATGTTATTACAGAGGCACTACCAGCGTTGCTGATTGATTGGCTCAGCTTTGGCCAGCACCATGACCATGGAGCCAGCTGGAACTGGCTGTGTCCAACACGGAGGCAGCCTCTCACCTCTTCTCACAGAAGCCACCCCTGCAGCCTTCCCCACTATCAAAACCTTGCCATGTAAACCCAATAAGATAAGATAGGACTAGGAAAATATGATGAGTATATCTTATCTCTTGTTAGTTTTTTTTAATATTGCTTGACAGATGGTTGTTAATTGCTAAGGGACAGTTAATAACATCTGACACCCTTGTAGAACAAGGAAACAAATGGGTTTGCATATTCAGCACAGTATCATAGTAGCAGCAACCATCTTGTGTTGAATACATCATAAACTAATCTGAGCAGTTAAGGAAGGTATCAGGAACAGAAGCACATATATTGCATCCTAAGCCTAGCAGTAAGGTGTCACTTTAGGTATAACAGCTGTGTGTACTGTGGCCATGTCTTTTTCTTGCTTTTGTGTGATACACAAGTGATAAGGGTTGAAAAAGGCTGCCTGAGATCACTGTAATCGTATGTCACTCCAACATCTCCAAAGAACTTCACAACTGGAATCCATGTGAGTCCTCACAGCTCAGACATGCAATTGTCCAGCAAAATTGTGAGATTCACTCCTTATTGTTGGGCAAGCATGGAAAGGGGCCACAGTTTATCTTGTACAGTCAATAAATATTGCTACCACACCCCTAGCTAAGGAACATGACAGAAAAATCAATGACATGGGGTTTTCCTGGAAATCTGACAGCAGTATCAGCACAGGGTAAATTCTGTAATACAACCCTGCAACTGGTGTACTGAGATTTTCAGGGCTGCTAAAGAACCCACACTTCCAAACCAACTATCTAGATATAATGTGCTTTGTAAGTATCTATCCCACTGCCTATGAAACATCTTCCCTCTGTTAGCTCTACATTGGATATCATATATCTTGGCTCACTCTCAAATGCTATTCATACTTACCGGACTGGAGCTGTTTCATCTTTCAGAGCATACCATTCAGCTGGTAAAGGTTCATAAAGGCACCAGAGTGCCCAGTCAAACCCGTCTGCAGCCACTGAATACTGAAGAAGCTCAAAGTCATCAAAACGAATATTGTCAAATACCGGTGATATTATAACAGTGCGATCTTCTTTTAGTCGAGACAAAATTGGTTCAGCCCTACCAAAATTAAGAAAAGGAGTCTATTCAGCTTGAAAAAGTGGAAAGCTAATGAACAGTACTGAACTTTACCACCTGTTTCTAAAACTGGGTTAGCTACTTTATTTAAGTCATTGGCTTTGGCCTCTGCAGAAAGTTACAGGCCAGTCTTGGAGTGCTAGCAACCCAAACTAATGGCTAATGCCATGGCTCAATTCTCCCTTCCATTAGGCTGCTTCTGCATTTTGACTGTCACTAACCAAATTAACCGTGAGTTGCACGCTTAACTTGCTGCGTTTATTGCTACCTGGGTCTGCTTCCTACAGGCTCTAGAGAGTCTTCACTATCTGCATGAAGATACAAGAAGGGAAAAAGAAAAGAAGGAGACCCTGAGGAGCGCTGTAAGCCCTGAGATTGACCACTCAATGTCTTTCCCCTGTGCTTTGGTGGCACAGCTGGTGTATGAGGGAAAGGGTGTGACCGATCAATGGATCCCTACAATGGAAGAAGGCTCAGAGAAGATAGGCAAGGACAATGTGCTTGTAAAGCTCAGAGGAGAACGTAGGGAGTGGCCACAGCTATCATAAAGGAAGCTGAACTTATCCCAACACCAGTGGGACTGGAGAGTGGCCTTTGTTGCAGATAAACAGCAGTATCAGTTGAGTGGCTCAACTGGTTATGTACACGGCCTTCTTAAATAATCAATAGAAATTATTATCTTCCTAAGCCAGACAGACCAACATGGGGGAAGTGTATATGTGGCTCAGCCCAACATAGAGTATAAAAATTGAACACCCAGAAAAATGAACTTCGAAGAGAGCAACATGCTTGAGTTGGCTTCAACCTATGTATTCCTTCCCAGCAACTAGGGATGCCCAGCATCTTGACAGTAAGCATATAGAGAGTGGTAATGTGAATCTCAATTTGTATTGTGATTCAACTGTATATTGCAATTGCTATATTGTGCTTGTGTTGTGATTTCAGTAGGTTGCTGTATCACTTTTCTAAAACAAAATCCCATGTATCTTCAAATAAGTAAATTTAGGATTAAAACATTAAACCCTCCTCATGTGGAATATCTAAAAGAATCCAGTCAGAGAATATTGGACTCCAATGGAGGGAGTCTTTTTGCTGGACCCCAATTGTTGTTAGGCCTAAAAGAACTGACCTTTTCTTTCCCCTACATACGCTTGCCAGCCCAACCTATCCCAATGAGTCCTGAAAGCCATGACTAAAGTACTTCAGCATTACATTTAAAACTGTAAGAGCTAGGGAGTGTCAGTTAGTGTGCTACCAAGAGACAAACAGAGATCTGGACCACACAGAGCCATTTTGGCCTGAGAAGGGCTGGGAGAAGAACCTTACTCCCAGAAAGTGAGACAACATGGACAATAGTCAGCCAGTGAATTCAACAACCCAGAGGGGAGAGAATGCAAATACATTTCACACAAAACAGTACCATAGATATCATTACCTAACAGAATGTAAGTATCCATCATCAGCCACTTGTTTTGTCTCTCTTTGCAAGAAGAGTCCTACAGAACTACGATGCACTATTAAACTAACATGCAACAGCAAATAAATATTAGCCAAAGTTGGAACAAGAATCAAACGAATTTAAAGTCATTGGGTATTATGGCTGTCTAATATACTTATAAAGGGCCAAAGTTGCTGGCAGTGGAACTAAATAACCCACATCATTCTTAAGGCAGGCATTTCTCTCTTCTTCTTCACTAAACAGCTTACTCTGTTACCTGTCTGCTTTGCTCTTTATTTCAAATAATTGTATTGCTTTCCCTCTCAGAAATAAGTGACTTGGTGGCTGTTAATTAACATGGAGCAGGCCAGAAAGGAGAACCGTATATGGGATGCCTGTCGCAGCTACACAGTTACACTCCTTGTCCACCTCTCTCTCCCCACTTCAGAAACCCCCCAGTCTTCATAGTCTTACCATGCCATGTTCACTTCAATATGGGCATCCAAAATTGCAACAACGTCTGCAGTTGATGCCTCCCAGCCAGAAATCCGGGCTTGTGTTAGGCCTTGTCTTTTCTGATGCCTGATGATCTTCAGCAGTCCAGGATGTTTTACATTGTAATTTTTGATGTGTGTTTCCAAAGGTCCTTTCAGATCATCTAAAACCAACCCCCACATTTTAATGATAAAAAAAAATAAAATAAAAGAGAGTTACTCCATATTAAGAAATGGAAATGATTATGTAGGTAATGGCTTTCTAGCTTCTCCTAGTTCCAGATCGAAAACTAATTTGTTCTTTGCAATAGAAAAGGTAGAATTATTAAGGTACTCATGAATTGAAGAGGCTTATTTTTAAAACCAGCTTCCATTCCAGGAGTTCAGTTAAGTAGCTAGATTTCCTTTACATATAGTGCTGTTGTATGTCTTCCAAATTGTACACAAATACATCAGTATGTAGAAACTTTAGACATGTGCCATAACAGCAAGAAATTAGCTGTCTTAGTGCAGTAATTTCTGTGTCTATCTTCCACCATGTGGAAAGGAAAAGAGAAAATAAACAAGCCCTGAAAATGTGAAATGCTCCTGTAAGAGTTGTAGGCATGCCAGCTCCCTCACCAAAGAAAAAAATAGTGTCAGAGAAAAGAAACAGAAAATTGGGACCTCTTAGCATCGTTTTGGAAATTCACTTAAACTGTTGCTCCACCCAAACTGACACATTTTTCTAGCAGCTACAAAGCCTTAGAAAAATGAGAAATCAAACACATCTCATCAGGCAAGGAAAAAAAAAAAAAAAAAAGCACCCTTAAGATCAGGGGCATCTCTTTCTTACAGATGATTTTACAATGCTTTGTTCAGCTCAATTTTAAGAGCAACGATGCACCTACTGCTTCCCCTAGGACTATTTTCCACAACCCAGGACACCACTCTTCAAGGAGTTATTTCAGATACTTACAGAGATAGTTTTCTTAGCATACTCTTACTTTGGTACTATGTCCAATGAGCCAGTGGTAATAAATCATAGAATGCTTTGGGATGGAAGGGACCTTTAAAGGCCATCTAGTCCAATCCCCCTGCAATTGGCAGGGACATCTACAACTCGATCAGGTTGCTCAGAGCCCCATCCAGCCTGTCCTTCAATGTTTCCAAGGATGGGGCATCTACCAGCTCTCTGGGCAACCCATTCCAGTGTTTCACCACCCTCATTGTAAAAAATGTCTTCCTTATATCCAGTCTGAATCTACCCTCTTTTAGCTTAAAACCAATACCCCTTGTCCTATCGCTACTGGCCCTGCTAAAAAGTCTGTCCCCACCTTTCTTATAAGCCCCCTTTAAGTATTAAAAGGCTGCAATAAGGTCTCCCCGCAGCCTTCCCTCCTCCAGGCTGAACAACCCCAGCTCTTTCAGCCTTTCCTCGTAGCAGAGGTGTTCCATCCCTCTGATCATTTCTGTGGCCCTCCTCTGGACACTCTCCAACAGGTCCATGTCCTTCTTGTACTGAGGACCCCAGAGCTGGATGCAGTACGCCAGGTGGGGTCTCACCAGAGCAGAGTAGAGGGGCAGAATCACCTCCCTTGGACCTGCTGGCCACGCTTCTTTTGATGCGGCCCAGGATACGGTTGGCCTTCTGGGCTGCGAGAGCACATTGCTGGCTCATGTCCAGCTTTTCATCTATCAGTATCCCCAAGTCCTTTTCCTCAGGGCTGCTCTCAATCCCTTCATCCCCCAGCCTGTACAGATACCGGGGATTGCCCCGACTCAAGTGCAGGACCTTGCACTTTGCCTTGTTGAACCTCATGACATTCACACAGGCCCACTTCTCAAGCTTGTCCAGATCCCTCTGGATGGCATCCTGTCCCTCAGGTGTGTCAACTGCACCACTCAGCTTGGTGTCATCTGCAAACTTGCTGAGGGTGCACTCAATACCGCTGTCTATGTCATTGATGAAGATACTGAACAGCACTGGCCCCAGTACTGACCCCTGAGGGACACCACTTGTCACTGATCTCCATCTGGACATCGAGCCATTGACCCACATCCCTCTGGATGCAACCAGCCAGCCAGCTTGCTATCCACTGAACAGTCTGCCCATCAAATCCATATCCTTCCGATTTAGAAAGAAGGATATTGTGGGGGACCATGTCAAAGGCCTTACAGAAGTCCAGATAGATGACATCCGTAGCTCTTTCCTCATCCACTGATGTAGTTAGTTACTCTCCCATTTAAATTTTTAACCTTTTCAAATACTTGCAAAGCATCATCCTGTTCCTTATTAGCTGCCTCTTTGCAGGCTATTAAGGTGTTTGGTTTTTTTCCTGTACTCAATTTACTTCTTAATTTTGAGCGGTCTACTCTGTGTTCACCCAAAAGGCCACCAACAGTCATTTAACACAATAGCACCATAAATTAGCAAGACTCCTGCCTTTCCTGGGTCACTTACCATTTGAACTGTAATCATCTACCAGGATGATTTCTTTCAATAAATGAGAAGGTGTTCGGTTAATTACACTAGTAATTGCACGCAAGATGATTGACAGTGCTTCATTCATAAATATAAGTATAACACTGAGTGTTGGAAGGTCTTTTGGATATGTTTTCATTTTACAGCTGTAATAGAAGAACAACAACTTTAGCACAGTTTCTAAAGAAAGTCAGAGAGCAAGACAGCTGCAAGAAGGCAGAATTAGGATATTGGGCTTAAAACATACAGTGAAAATCAGCATAAGAGCAAAAAAAAGGAATTCCCAAATCCAGGCTTCATTATTCATTTGAGTTGTGTTATGTATGTACATAACCATTTAGCTAAAGTTAAAATTTCTGTTAAGACAGCAAGAAAGAACAATTAGTGTTTCTCAATCCAAAACGTTTCTCAAATATTGAAACTAAAGAATACAGTTGACTCAGTGAGGAATGATTAGCTTACAAGGCAGTGGACATGTGAGTGAAATTTGGCTTTTTGCATTTACAGAAGGAGATGACAATAGCCAAATCTGACAACAGACAAAAGCAAATTAGACAATAATCCTTTGTATGTGCAATGATGAAGAACAAAGTAGGTCTAGCTATACTTAACTGACATGGGAGAAGGATTTCCTTGTACAAGGGATCTCTTTAGAAATTCTTGAAAGAGCTTCCAAAATCCTTCTTACAGAGCAAACCAGGCCTTGTGGAACTCCATGCTGCCCCAGAATAAGTTGTTTCCAGTGCTGAAACAAACTTTTTTGTTTCAAGTCCAGAATACTTCTGGACTTCCTGCTTACTGTCAAAAGAATTTTTAATTTTTTTTTTTAAGTATATGTTTGGGATATTTGTCAGCTGTGCTAATTAACGTTCTGGCCACCAGGCAGATGGTGAGGACTGGGTCTTCTTCATGGTGTTAAGTACTAACTCCCTCTAGAGCAGCCAAGAGCATAGCTGGATTCTCAGGCTGATCATTCCCTTCCTGTAGAAACACGTTTATGAAAGCAATACTCAGACTGCATGAGTTGTGTGGCTACATAATGCAGCAATCTGAGACCCAGGCTTGTGCTCCAAGTAGACCTCTACAGTGGCAATTGTGCATGAATGGATTGCATTTTTGTTGGAATTTCTCCATTAGCTTTATCATCCATTAGCGCAAGAGCCTGAATGGATATTTGCAAAAGGTGGTCTCTGGAAATACATCTTCATAGCGAAGCAGAAGAGCACCAGGCACTGCAGCCATTCTTTGGGACCACACAGACTAATCATGCACTTGCTCCGGCCACCTCTGCGGTGGCTGCTCCAGGCAGTTCTCCCCAAAATGATCCCCCAGCAGAGTGTGGATCGTTCAGCTCAGGGCTGCCTCAGGAGGATCTGTGTCTGGCTCACCACTTTGTGCCCTCACACAACTCCACACCCTCTGCCTCAGCACCCCAAGATATGCTGCACAGAAAGCCCCTTGAAACTCACTCTGGAAGCTACTACACAGCCCTCACACTACTTCAGACACTATGAACTGAGAAACACATGCCAGAGTTAAGGCTTGATCCAAGACTCAGAGGACACCCACAGTCAGGGGCAATGTATTACTGTCTGCCCTAGACTGAACCAGCTCTACCCAAGCAGTATGATGAGGACCCACCCAGTTGCATAACCTGCTCTTTACACCTTTCTGAGGGCTGCCAGTAAGACAATTCCCCTTTTCCCAAGTGTGACATTGTTAATTCACACCCAGTTTGCAATAAACTCTGCCGCCCACACCCTTTTCTGAAATGCTCCATCAGATTTAGTACAAGTGACCATAGGTACAAAGGTGTAGCCCTGCAGTATATCTGTGGCATTCTTCTGTGTTTACACCAGTTAATTCCTGTAAAGCTTACTATTATCTTCTGCAATAAATTCCATGTCTTATCATACTATTCAGAAAAAAATGCGTTTGCTTTTTTTAACAGATGCTTGTTCCTAATGAGGATTTTGATGGTTACTTATGAGACCTGCCATAGTACCACTGGTCTTCTTAAAAAGTTGGCTTCAAGAACCAACCAACTCCTGGAAAAAAAATCCCTTAAGCTTCCTCTTATGAAGTGGACTGCTTACCCACATCTTAATCCATTAGATGTTTACCCCACTATATTTTCCACGTAATTAACCCTCAGACTCTTTGGTAACTTGAGAGGGAAACAGAGAGAGAAAATAAAGCTATAAGGTAACTCACAAGGTCACCAGTCCATTATGGCTATGCCTACAATACTAAAGATAAGAGTGCCAGGGATTCAGCTCAAGTGCTGAATCTTCCCTCACCCTTCAAGGGGTTCACTGGCCAATAATTAGTTCCAGCCACCTCTCATCTGATTTCTTACTATCTTTTAATAAGCAGTATAGGTATTCCCCACTTCCTGTCTGCAACATGGCTAAGAACAACAAGCATTTTCTCAAAAAGGACAGAATTTTACAATGTAGGGGATTACCTCTTCATTGATAATATCTTGGGAGTTTTCCAAAGGAAAGTTAAAAACACTTCTAAAGGAGTTAAAAAACACCACTTTGGATATCTCAAATATATCTCTTATATAAGACAACATAAGAGACAAGAGAAAGCATGCTTCAGATGTCCTGGGCTTTGGGGCTTAAATAGAATGTAAGCAGACCAGAAGGTATGATATCTTCTGAATACTATGGTTAGTTTTTCCCCTTTTTACTGACAGTTAGAAGTCCTATAGCAATTATAATGTTAACATTATATTCTTTTTCCTTAGTGTCTTCTCTACATTGTGACTTCTTTTCACAGTCTTTGAAGTATTACAAGTCTGAGCAAGATTTGGAAGAAAATGATAGAAAAAAACCCCTAAACAAACAGAGCACAGATTGAGATCTGTTAGATTATTTTAACTTAGTCCAAAGCAATGTGGATGCCTTTCCCTTTAATTTCATGTCTCCTTGTGAATGTAGAGAGGGCTTATACTGCACCTGGGAGATCTGGTGTCTCTGATAGGTCGATCCAGAGGTAGATGATCACTGAGATAAACATTATACCCATAACTTAAGAACAGATCCTGTGCAACAGTTTGCTCCTCTTCACTTAAATCTGCACCCCAGCGTTTAAACAAAACTGAGTCCGGGTACAGCAAACGGTGTACAATCTTCTTTTTCTCCTTTGCATTACTAGTTTTGCGTTCTTCAGTCTTGGAGTTATCTTGTAGCTTCAGATCACGTTCTATTTGTTTTATATTTTCATGGAATGTTTCCATTGATTTTGCTGATTGAAAATAAAAAAGGATTGATTATACCAGTAATTGAGAACACTCTCCATCATCATAACTGAGCCAAATTCTCCTTATAACACTGAAGGTCAAGAGATCTGTGAAGTTACAGCTAAACTGATATGCACATGAAAGTAGCATCAGACCATCCCTCCTACATGAGGACAGTTTTTAAACATCACATTTCACAATACCCTGCACCAGATTCTGCTCTCAATTGCACGAGCGCAGAGCAAGGGACACTGTGTTGGCATCAGCGGAGAAATCTGGGAGTAGAGGCAACACGCAAATTATTAAATTGGGCCCAAATACTTTCCATGATGTTATGCTTGAGTTACATTAATGTGTTAAGGATCCATAACAGGATTCCCATCTAAGTCACGTTTTTGATACCATATCAATCTTGAAGGTAAACACAGTAAATAAGCCCTTTGTCATTTCCTTTAAAAAGCTTACTGGAATTTTTTGACTTCCGCTTAGAAAGATTTGAACATGGTGAACCCTAATCTCTCAAGGTTTTATTAGGTTCACAACATTGTGGCATAAAGAAAAGGCACAGATAGCCTGTGTGAGGGTGTTTAGGACATATTTTTCTTGAAGGTAAATACTCGAAGGTAAATATTTTTCTTGAAGGTAAAAGTGAGCCTTTTTCAGTGTCTTTTGAAAAGCTCATTGTCAGAGAGAGTCCTGCTGCCATTCAGAGGGACCTGAAGAGGCTGGAGAGACAGGCCAACAGAAACTTCATGAAGTTCAATATAGGCAGGTGCAAAGTCCTGCACATGTGAAGGAACAACCCCATGGACTAGCACCAGCTGAAAAACAGCTTTGCAGAAAAGGACCTGGGGGTCCTGGTGGACACCAAGTTGAACATGAGCCAACATTTCACCCTCATGGCAAAGAAGGACAACAGTACCCTGAGCTGCATTAGGAAGAGCATTGCCAGCAGGCCGAGGAAGGTGATCCTTCCCCTCTACTCAGCACTGGTGAGGCAACATCTGGAGTACTGTGTCTGGTTCTGGCCTCTTCAGTACCAGACAGACATGGACATACTGGAGCAAACCTTACAAAGAGCCACTAAGATGATTATGAGACGGGAGCATCTGTTACACAAGGAGAGGCTGAGAGAGCCTGAGAAGGCTTGGGGGCGGCAGGGGGGACAGGGACTTATTGATACATATAAATATTTTATGAGAGGGACAAACAAAGACAGAGGAGGAGTCTTCTCCTGGTGTCCAGTGAAAGGACAAGAGGCAGTGGGCACAAATTGAAACCCAGGGATATCCATTTAAATGTAAGAATTATTTTATTATTTTTTTTTTAACTGCTGGAGTGACTGAAAACTGGAACAGGTAGACCAGATAGATAGGTTGTTAAGTCTCCATCCTTGGAGATATTCAAATCCCAACTGGACAATATCCTGGGCAACCTGCTCTAGCTGATGATGCTTTCAGCAGGGGAATTAGAATAGACCATCTCCACAGGTGCCTTCCAACCTCAACTATTATGTGATTCTGTGACTAAGCACTGATGTGAAGACTTTAGCTTTCTTTCAAATGGCTCGAAAATAATCGACAAAAACTATGCCCAACTATTGATGCCCATGAGAATAGGTGCCAGTGAAGACACTGTCAGCAATAACAGTAACATTACGGGATAGGGGATATTAAACATGCCCAAGCTATACAGGAAAAACTCCTTATCAAGTTCAAGGGTGCCACTTGAGGCATTTCAAACAGCTAGTTTCAGGCGTGGGTGATCGAGACATTTTAAGTTTCTTCTTCTCTCCTACTTACCACACATCTAGCTCTAATGTGAGGAGATGTGGACAACATAACAGTTAAAGCAATACCAGCCAGCAGGGTTCTGCTTTAGCCCTCCTACCACTGCCATGAGGTGATGAGATTCAAATGACATGAAAAAAGTGGGAAATCAAGGGGCCTAAAGGAAATAAAGAGGTGGATTCTTCAGCCCTTATTCAGATGGCTCTATTGTGCCCACTTCCCAACAGCCTAACCTACAGCAGATACCTGAAAACAAGGTCAAAATTCACAAACCCCACTGTGAGAAAGAAAAGGCCCTTTCTAAATTAATATTGCTCATATACAAGCACATCTGCTGGGATGCTGTTTGTCTTTCACTGTCATGGGATGAGAGAGAAACAGTCCTGCCAGCATATTTCAGCTAATGCTGCTTGGGAACACAGTCCAATCGAGCAGGTGATGCAGTTCATCAAAGTCTTTTCCCCACAGCAACTCCGTTTTGTCTATGCTCAAGGTACATGAAGAAAAAAGACTGAGTGAGTCACAGTTCCCCTTGTTGCTCACCCACACAGCAGAGGCAGAGGAAACGGGGCATTTCCAGTTTCTCTCAAAAATAGTTTTTTATGGCAAACAAAATAATGACAGGAACAATGCCTGAGATGAGTATGCTGGTACAACCACCACCTTGAAATTGCTTAACACTGCTAAAAGACTTCAGGGTCAGGAGCTGTCTAATAAGCAAAAAACCACCATGATGACTGTGAAAGACTTTATTGTTTTGTGTGTAAATAGAGAAGCTATCAGATCTTTTTCATGATTACAAGAAGAAAAACAAACAAACAAAACAATCAAAAGTGTCCAGGGAAACCCAAATAAACATTATCACTGCTATCTATTATTCTGTCCTTCAGGAAATCTAGATACCTAATCCTCAAAAAGTTAAGCAGTATGGCATTTTACTTACAGAGGTTATGAATGTTCCAGTCCAAATGGTCCAGTCTCTGAAGGATGTTATTGTCTTGGTTCAGAGATCGAGGATTAACATCCAAGGAATCAAGTCTTCCCTTTCTATGATCTTGCAGTAAGTGCACCAGATAACAAACAAAACCTCCATTCAAGATTAACAGTGCAACTTTATGTGGTCTCTTCCAGGGTGCCATTGTAAGCTTAAAGAAACTCAGCGTTCTGCTGCTGGTTGAAGTTTGTCTACAGTTCTGGGTCTGCACTGAGTCTTCTTTCCAAATGCAGTTTCAAATTGCCTCTACTTGACTGAAAGCTAAGACTGCTCAGATGGAGTAATTAACAGAGTCTAATGAGTCACAGAACTGATGATGATAAGGTACAGCTCACAGGTGTTTTCACTTGCATGCTAATATGTGCCCGTACAAGTTACCAACATCAGATAAAGCATGCAGCTCTTACTGGCTAGTGTAATGAGTGACATGAACTGAGTGAGCACCTAGGGTGATGCTGTAGGAAGTGCAGGGCTGTTGGGCAGCTGTCAGAAAGCCTGTCATGCAACAAAGTACATGTACACACAAAGGCAGTTGGAATAAACTGCAAGTTTCTTGGTCATTAGCAGCTGCGGAATTGTGAATATAATTAAACAAAAATGTGAAAATACATTAAAATGGATTTTCCATCAAGTTTTGAGCTGGCTGGAAGCAATTGTGACTGGTATAGGCACTTCACAGCCCTCTCCCACACAGGCCATTCCTGCAGCTCACCACCACCAAAACCCTGCCAGTTATGCCTAGCACACATATGTGAATTTGGAGTAGTCCTCACAAAAATAATTAGCGTATGGAGCTTTCCTTTCCATAAAAATACCAAGCTGCTTCATGCTTCCCAGGATTGCTGTCCCAGTGTGGGTCATTTGCTGGCCAGAGTCCTCAGGGCTGTCCCTGCCCTGGTGTGTCCCCCACCATGGGCCACAGTCCCTTCAGAAGTGCCGTCTTCCAAGAGTGCATCTGCAGCACCCTCAGCAGTCCCCTCTGGGGGCCTCCTGCCTTAAGGGCTGATGCTCTTTCTTATGTATATCAGCCCATGGCCTTTTCTACCACAGGGCAGCCCTGCAGCCCCTGCTACAGAAACCCTAACTGTTATGCCAGGTGCATATTGCTGTAAACATGACTTCAAATTCACATCAGTAGTGTATAATCCTTTTTTTTTTTACTTTTCCTGCTATAAAAAACATCGAACTTTAACCTGATTCATGTGAAACATGAAGGACCAAGACTGCTGACAAACAAATCAGTCATGGATGCCAAGATCCTTCTACTACAGTAAATGTTGATGCAAAAGAAGAAGGATGGGGCAGAGGGATAAAAAAAAGACTTGAGATCGTTCCTCAAGCAATAAAAGGGCAGGATAGATGGATCTGTGGATCATCTTGCTATTCACTTCCATTTCTTTGTCCTCGTAGGTCTTCCCAAGACCTCGGTATTGCAAATGCTTCTATGCAGTGTGACTATTCACCTGGCAAGTCCACCTGCACAGAATCACGGAGTCATTGAGGTTGGAAGGGACCTCTGGAGGTCATCTTGTCCAACCCCCCTGCCCAAGCAGGGCCACCTAGACGTGGTTGTCCAGGATCATGTCCAGACAGCTTTTGAATATCTCCAAGGATGAAGACTACACCACCTATCTAAGCAACTTGGGCCAGTGAACAGTCCCCCTCACAGTAAGTGTTTCCTGAAGTTCAGGTGCTGTTCAAGTCGTGGATGGGTTACTTCCTAGGGGTATGGGACAAACTGTGTGATACTAGGAAGAGCATTTGGGGATTGTACGAGACTTATATGGGACACTTAGAATTAAAGGCAGGCAAAAAAGGGAACAAGCTGGTTCGGGGAGGAACAAACATGGAAGAATGATTGGCTGGTCAGTATGCTCATCTGGCCAAACTCTGCACCTGATCTGTCCTGTCTCCTTATTAAACTTCATTTCTAAGCATATTCCTGGGTGAGGGACTCTCTATTCTGTGTGCATTTGTGTGCTTGGAGGTCTAAGTGCCAACAACTGGAGGTTACAGGTCAGAGGGACTGTGTGCCTGTGGTGCCAGCAACACGAGTGACAGAGTGAGTAAAATCAAGTCTTGGCAACTGAACTGGTGACCTGGAGTTTATCACAAACTGATAGCTAAATCTCTCTTTCTTATCCAAAACTTACTTAAGGCTATAAAACATAGGAGTGTACATATGAGAAACAGGCAAGGATGATGCTGGCAAA